GGGGCCCGGGGGTGGCGGGGGCCGCAAACCCAAGTCGGCCTCGGTCTGGGACATAGGGACCGCGGGCTCTCCGGCCCAGGGCGCCAGCATCGGGAAGGGCAGGGCGCTGCAAGCCAGGCGTCCGTCCGGAGAGGCGCGGCGGGACGGCAGCCCGGGAGTGCGCAGCGCCCAGCGGAGCTCGGCCCCGCCCCGCCCACCTGGCCCCGCCTCACCCTGCCCCGCCCCGCGGCCAGCAACGTCCTCGCACGGACCGGACCGGACCGCGCAGACCTGCTGTGTGTCTGGAGCTCGGGGGCCTGGGCCGCAGCGGAAATGTGCGCGGGGGCACCGAGCCTGCTGGGGGCAGGGGGACGCCACCGTGGCCTGCGCGCCCCAGATAAGGCTGGCTCCCCGTCCTATCAGCTGGAGCGGCCCCAGGCGGACACGGAGGTCAGTGGAAAGGATTGGGCTGTGCCCTCGCCGCTCCTCTGGTCAGCACAGGGATGGTGTGCGCACCGCAGGGCGAGTCCTCCCTGACCGAGAGCCCGCTAGCCCGCAGCCTGGCCCTGGCCGGAGTGGCTGTTTTCACTGTGGGCTCTTCTGACCTCTTATTTGCCAAAGCCCCCAGTAAACCAAAGTCCACATCCGGCTCACCCTTTCAGCTCTCCGTGGCCACAGCCGTTCTGCCCATACCAGAAGGGTGGCAGGAGGGGCTCGCCCCAACTGCTCCCTCGCTGAGCCCTCCCGCCTCCCCAGCCCTCCCAGGCAATAAGGCACAGGCAGGCAGCGGGAGTTCAGGTTTTAGTAGCCTAAGACAGCAGTGCCCGCCTCACTGCCCGCCCTCTGGCCCAAGGTCTTCATGTTGCCTGGAAGGTGCCAGGGGCCAGGGCTCCCCCAGCCCTGGGAAGCCCAGCACCAAACTGAGGGGGCAGCTCGGGAGCACAGCAGGCTGCGCAGGCACCCGTGTGCGTGATACCTGGCGCAGCAGGTTTGAGACCGGGGCTCAGGGCCATGAGGGAGGGCAAGAGAAGCACTCCTGTCCCTGCACCGTGGCTCCCCTGTCCCCAGACAGACAGATGGATCAGGGGACCATCCCCGTGTCCCAGCCTCAGGCCTGGAGGCCTGCAGAGTCCAGTGGGGTCACAGATCCAGTCTGTGGGGACACAAGAGCCCTGGCAAAGTGGGAGGTGAGAAGCCAGGGAGCCGGACTGTGCTAGAAGAACTTGACACCCCGGCCGTCGCTCAGTGTGATGATCTCCGCCTTGTGCTCCTGCTGCAGGGCCTGCAGAGCCCGCAGCAGGGTCGCCTCATCCAGCCCGTGGAACTCTGGACGGGAAGAAATGGGCAGTTAGGGGTACTCAGTGCCTCTGAGGACTGCAGAGATACTGCCTGCAGCTGAGACCTCCCAAGCTGAGGTGTGCGGAGGCCGCCTGCACCACTGCACCTACCGCCAACTTCCTTGTACTCTTCCTAGTACTCCTTAGGAGCAGGGGCGTAAGGAGGCTGAGTCAGGCTTATTTCCCCCTCCCTGTATTCCTGGAAACTCCACCCCCACAGCTCTCTTCCACCCCACCCCCCATTTGATGCACTAGAGACACCACTGGCCACAAAAACGGAGCCCACGAGGGCCTAGGGTCAGACCCTTGTGGCTGAGCAGACCCTGGCTGCACACTGGCGTAGGTCAGGAGGCCCCAACCTCACACTGAGTGCAGCAGCACCCCGGTGGGCTCTGCTCACGTCCAGCACCAGTCTCCACCCCCCGGAGCTGGCCAGGACAGGGCTGGGCACCCAGGGCCAGCCGCGAATCTGGAGATGCGGCAGATAATGCAGGGAGACGAGCGAGGTGGCGGGCAAGCCCTGGCAGGCCGGCTCACCTCACCCCCTCAGGCTCAGTGCTAGCCAGGAGCTGGCTTTCTGAGGGAGCCCAGGCAGCAGGCCGGGCCAGGCGGCCGCGCTGAAGTCATGGGGTGACGGTGGGAGCGGCAAGCAGAGGCCTGCAGGCCAGCGGGAGCAGCCAAAAGCCAGAGACTGCCGGGGCAGCCGGGACCTGTCAGGGAAGGAGGCAGCACTCCCAGGGGCCCAGTAAAGCCTGAAACTTCTGGTAACTCTGGGGATCAGGACCAGAGAGAAAGAACTAAGGAAACGTGTGCTACGTAAAAATCAAAGCCCAAAACCAGAGTATTTAAATGGGCTGGGGGTGTTGGCCGAATCCCTTCAGCTGACACCCACCAATCTTGAGCCCTCTATAAAATAAAGGGTGAAAGAGAGCCTGAGTCAGCAAGGGAGATGATTTCAGGCTTAATCCCCCAAGCTGGCTCCTCAGGTGGCATTGACAGTAGCAAATCTCAATTCTCATGGGCCACACACATCCCTCAGAGAGGGTAACGGGCCACTCTCCCTTGGAAATTCCACGTACAGCCATGCAAGCGAAACTACCGAGTTTCCTCAATTCAGGTGGTCAGTGCAATCTTTACGTGTGGGTTAAGGACTTTCCTTTTACCGGATGCAGGGAGAGAAAGGGGAAGTCTGAGTATCAAGTGAACCAGGCTTGGGAGAGGTTTCTGATGACAAAACTGAGGCAGGAAAAGGCATTACCTTCACCCTCTGTGTCCTCCCCACTGGTCAGTTCATACAGGGTGAATACAGAGTTGTTCTGGCCACTCTTGGAAACCTGCGGACACCAAAAATGAGGGTTGAATGAGGACCAAGAGTCTCCTGGGAGAAGGCAAGCTTAGCAGCTCCACTTCTTCCATCCGGGATTGGTCCCTTTCCCAAACCAGGGCCGTCAACTCTGCAGTGGCCCCAAACCACAAACCCTACAGGTGCTATATTTGTGTGTGTACACACGCTGCATACCACTAGACCACAGGCCTTTGCGTGCCTGCAGAGTGACCTCTTGCTCTGCCTGCTTCTCTGCTCAGGAACGGGAGGGGTGTGTTTGTTATATTTAGGTTGTTGATGCTTCCTCCTCTCCCCTTTTCCCATGGGAATGTGTGGGGCTGTTGGTGGCTAGAAACTTGGAGAGTGTTCTGTCCCCACACCCACCCTGGTTCAGAATGCTGGAATTGATGTGGACAGCCCCACAAAGGTGCCCTTCGGAGGAGGGGCTGTTTCTCTGCCCTTCCCTTCCCCATTTATCTCCTGTGGCCGCAGGCTCTGGCCAGCAACAGCACTCAAGGTTCCCAGTGCCGCATTCTCCAAATGTGGCCTCACACTGCCTCTGGCCTCCTGCTGGCAAGGGAGGGTCTGTGCAGTCAGAGAAACCGAGTCACACTTGCTCTTTCTGCTGCTTCCCCGTGTGGCCAAGTATGGGTCTGGGAACACCAGGTATGTGCTGGACAGAGAAAACTCCCCTTTGCCATGGGTCATTGCTCAGTACTTGGCCAAGGGATGGTCTCACCCACTGATAAATGAGTTTCCCCCATTCTTCTGGCCTCCGCCACATGATCAGGAAACTAGACTTGTTCTTATCCAACCACTCGAGGTTCCCTGCAAAACAAGAGACTTAGGAAATAATGCTCTAAAAAAGGAACAAAGAGGCAAATACCAAGGTGGGTCAGGGTGGAAGACACTCCGCTTTGAGAGTGAGAGACTGTATTTATTTTACTATTACTATTGACCAGACGCTGTTCTCCTTATTCCACCTCTCTCAGGCTGGGGGCATAGGTACAGCCACAGGTAGAGCTATTTCAATCTAAACCAGGGCAGAGCCAGGAACCAAGCTGCCTACTGTACAGAACACTGGGCTTCAGGCCAGTGGAGAGAAGAAAAGTTATTAAAGCCTGTCCTAATCTGCCCTCTGTGAAAGCCACATAGGAAGAAACAAGGAATCAGAGAACCGAACCCACCTTTCTTCCTCAGCTCCTCTAATACAATCTGGATGGATTCCACAGGGAGCTTCCCTGGTGGAAGGTTAAGGAATGGCATATGTGAGAATTAGGTTGGATAAAAACTCTTAGCCAATCCCGTGCTGAGAACCACCTGTGCCCTACGCGCACGCGCGCACAGGCGCACACAATTTCTGAACAAGATACACGTTTTGTGACTGTGGGTTGGACGGGGGAATTCTTCCAATGAGAAGAACTTGAGAAGATGAAAGGTCCGGCCTTGCCTTCAGCCTTTCTCAGCCTTTCTCCATTGATGTTTTTAGAATGAATCAACAAACAAATGACCCGCAGTTCCCGGAAGGAGTGGGATGGTCAAAGAAAACTACTGAAGGTCGCAGCACGTTTGAGTCTCACCCAGAGAGGACCAGAGATTCAAACAGCCAGAAGGGCTCGGGTTTGGTTTTGTTTAGTACCGGGAATCGAACTCACGACCTCGCGCTTGCCGCGCAGGCGCTTGTAAGGGCTCCGTGTTTAGCTCGGGTGAGCCTCGGGGCACCGACTCCAGGAAACGAGCACTCAGCACTGCCCAGGGCAGTTGGGTTGGGCGCGGCATCTGGGGGACAAGTGGGTGTCAGCCCTTCCCCGGGTCCAGTCTGCCGGGAAGCCGCCTGCTGGGCCGGGGGCGGGGCGCGGCCCGCCCGGGGCGAGCGTGCGGCGCGGGAGGATACGCTGCAGCTTGACGTTGTTGAAGAGCGGGCTCTCCTGCGCCTCCATCACCGTCATGCTCGACTGCTTGTGCAGGCGGCAGAAGGACAGGACCAGCGAGCACCAGGCGGCCAGCTGCTTCTGCCGCGTGTCCACGTTGGGCTGTAACCTGCAGGCGAGGGCAGAGGGGCGCGGGGTCAGAGGGCGCGGGGTCAGCGCCAGCCCGGGGCGCGCGCGGGGAGCAGCTAGAGGGGCGGAGCGGGTGGCGGCGGGGCCCTCTCCCCCTCCCCAAGTGAGGCATCGAGCCGAGCCCAGTGCCCCGGGAAGCGGAGGGAGGCACAGCGGGGCTTTCCGGGGTTGAAGCCTCACGTAAAGAAGGGCGGGAAGCGATACTGCCACGGCCACTCGAAACTCATCGCCATCGTAGTTACCCGGGAAACCCGGAAACTCTGCAAGGACTTCCGGTGTCCGCCTCCGCGTGTCCGGGCAGAAAGCGCAGCGCAAAGGTTCCGGTCCCTGGGGGAGGCCGGACGGCACAATCCCTGCCCCTTGTCCTACGGAACTTTGGCCAGTGGAACAGAAAGAGGCCAGAGGCGTCTCCTGGTTCAACTCCAGAACAGAGTAATGAGTCCCCATGAGCAGCACAGTTAGAATGAATACAAGTAGCTCAGGTCTCCTGCTGGCTGGGCTTGGCACCCATGCCTATTATCCCTGCACGTAGGAGGCTGAGGCAGGAGGAGTGCAGTGAGGTCAAGGCCAGCCTGAACTACCTCGCCTGTCAGTCTCTAAATCAGAATTACCCACCACCCCTCATGGGAGTATTGCTGGAGAGGGAGGCACCAAACACATTCACTGAGCCCCAGATTTTCTGACTGGTCTCACTCATGGGCTCTCGGGGCATCCCAGTGACCCTTTGTTTTTCATTGACTCCCAGGCACCCCAAAGTGAATATTCAGACTTCTCCATGGCCATAAGCCTGCTCCACCAGCCGCTCTTTTTGAGCTCTGCAGAATGCCCTTCACTCTAGCTTCACAAGATTGAGGCCGGGCCTGTGAACCCGCATCTCTCCTTCGTCCCCACGTTTGGTTCATTCCTCAAACATTCCACTTTTACTCCTTCCCTTTGGGACTCAAAGGAAGGTCTCTTCCTCTACAAGGTCGCCCCTTTAACGTATCTCTCTGCGTCTCCTCTGACTTCCTCCAGGACTCCCTGAGCACCTTGCCTCATTCCCTTCGCCCTGGCTTCTCTCCCTTGCGCTACAAACATGTTCAGGTTACCCCCGTGTCTTAGTTACTTTTCTCTTGTTGCTGAGGCAAAATACCCAACACCCAAAGTTAAAGGAGGAAAGGCTTGTGTAATTCGCAGTCTGTGGAGGTTTCAATCCATCATCAGCTGGCTCCGAGGCAGGCTGGCATGGCAGAGGGGCAACCATTCAAGGCAGCAGAAAACAGCAAAAGGGGAAAACCACAAGCTTGTTTCTGCCCCTTTTATTTTATCCGACTGCTGGGGTTGGGGCGGTGCCACTCCAATCAGTGGAGTGATCCAGCAATCACTCAGCGTTAATCCCAGCACCCTTCATCCCAGCACTGCACTATGAATCAGTCACAAACTCTAGATTCAGCCACCTTCGAAAAAGCCTGCCCTCCGTGACTGCATGAGGCTTTGGGGGGATGTCCAAACACAAACCGTAATAGCGCACTTAAAAACGCACCGCCTTCGACTCCACGTTCCTCGTTTCAAGTGGATTCCCTAAGCTTTTCCTCCCTCAGAACCAGCACATGCATGATAGTGGGACCAGCAAACATTTGTTGAGTGAGTGAACCTTTCAACTGACACTGTTTCCTCCGAGACAACCATTTCTATGACCCATTTTAATTTCTTCTGCTGCTACCTCTCTGACCTTTCCTGTCTCATTCCTTCCCCCCACCCTTTTTTTATTTTTCCTTTTCAGACAGGGTCTTACTATGCAGTTTAGGCTGGTCTTGAACTCAGTTTGTAGCCCAGGCTGGCCTCGATCTCGCAAGGATCCTCCTGCCTCAGCCTCCTGAGTGCTAGGATTACAGGTGTGCACCACCATGCCCAGCTCAGGTTTCCCCTTATTCTTTAAAGGTGAGTACTTCCTAAGAGTCAGACCACAGCTTCTCCTTTTTGCTACACCTCTCTGAGCTCCCAGCTCTCTTACAGCTTTATCTTAGTTACTTTTCTCGTTGCTGGGACAAAGTACCCAATACTCAAAGTTAAAGAGGGAAAGCGTTAGTTAGTTCACAGTTTGTGGAGGTTTCAGTCTCAGTCCATAATCAGCTGGCACAGGGGGAGCCATTCCAGGTGGTAGAAGACAGCAAGAGCAACAAGAGCCAAAGGGATGGGGAAAACAAGCCTCTTTTCCTCCTTTATGTTGTAAGCAGGCTAACACCCCCCACCCAACACTCACACCATCTCCGAGCCCTCCTCTTACACAGGATGAGGATGTTTACAAAGGAGGACCTTGGCTCCCTACTGAGTCCTTCTAAACTGGAGTTGACACAATGTATCAACCATAACAGGGTTCATACTCCTTTTCTGTGCAGAAGATTCCCAAGCCTCCATTTCCAGACCCAACCTCTCCCAGCTCTGCTGACCCTCATTTCCAATGTTCTGTGGGACACCGTGCTTCTTCCTGTCACCCTCTCCTCAGGGAGTCCCTCCTCCCAGCGGCCCTTTTCTGTCATCTGCGCTACCTTCAAAGTCATTTTGAGGACATTTTTGTTTGTTTCCGGTACTAGGGATTGAACTCACACGACCTTGTACTTGCCAGGCAGGCGCTGTGCCGCTGAGCTAAATCCCCAGGCCCTGGATTCTACCTTTGCAACACCGTATACACATACGGTGTTACACCTGCAGGCCCCTGACGGAGCGCAAACACCAAGAAGGGGTAGATACAACTTGTATTCAGGGAAAAAGACCAAAGGTTTATCTCAGCTGGAAGTTCAACACACCCTTGGGGAACTGCTGTCTCCACAAAGACAGATGTGTCCGAGAGCCGTGCATCTGAGGCTGCATGGCCGTGCTCCTGGAGACAGGCCTGGGTCCTGGGACGTCCAGGCCAGGGCTGTGCTTGAGCGTGGGAGAGGCGGACGGAGGGGAAGGCTCTGACACGCTGAGGGCCACAAGGAGGCAGGTGTCTCGCAGAGAACAGAGTCGCTCTGCAGGGGTTCTTCATGCCCTGCCAGGTGTGTCCTGGGGAGGCTGGACAAGGGCCTTGAAACACTGTCCGTACCCAGAAGGGGCCGGCTGTGGGGAGGGCCAGGGAAGTCCCTAGATGCTGGGGTCTCAGGAGACGAGCAGAAGGTCCAGGTGACAGCTGGTAGCTGTGGAGAGGAGCGTCTTCTGGCCTTGGGGCCAGTGCTCCTCCGCCTCCAGGCCCTTGCGGTCACTTACACTGTCTGGGTGTCGGCCCTAGCGGACGCCAGAGGGCAGTGTGTGGCCGGGCTGCAGGCCGCGCGGACAATGTAGGATGAAGGCCAGGGACCTGGAAGGGGAGTGGCAGGTCCCCTCCCGCTGCCTCTGCCTCCATCCTGAGAGCCTTAGGGTGAGACTGCTGCTGCTAGACAGGTTCGCCCCTCCGGCCCTGGGGGTAGACCGAGGCTCGAGGAGGGGCAAAGGCTGAGCTCCCAGGTACCCTCCCCTCGTCTCAGCAGCCTGCCCCTCCCCCAGCCTCCCCCGGGCCAGGCCCAGCGCTGTCCAGGCCGGCCGGAAGGGAGTCTCTTCCTGCTTGCTTCCTGCAGCTGGGTTTGGAGGGGGCAGGAAAGGCCGCAGCCTTGATGTGGGCGCGGGGGCAGATGAAGGGAAGCCAGCCGGGCAGCCCTCCGCAGAGCCCAACGCCTGTGGGATTGGCATCGACTCCCCCAGGGAGGTGACGTACAAAAAAAAAAAAGTTTTATTTTGAAGGTTACAAAACTGGCTCCAGGACCCCAGCGCCAGGCTCGGAAGGGGCAGTGAGAGGGGGCACCCCACAGAGGGGGCGCGGGGAGAGGCTCGGGATCTCGCTGGCAGCACCGCCCACCCTAGGCCTGCACCTCAGTGCCCTTGCTTCTCCATACCACGAGGGTGACGAAAAATGGGATGAGGCAGATGGGGGCTATGATCATGGCCAGGAGCACGTCCTCCGGGGGGTCGCAGAAGGTGGGCTGCTCCAGGGAGCAGTTGGCGAAGTGCAGCTGGTGGGTCTCGAAGATGATCCTCTCGGCCAGGGGGTTGGGGAAGCCCAGGCTGAAGACTTCCGCCTCCACCTCCAGGCAGTCTCGCAGGGCACTGTAGGGCCTGGGCAGAGGACCAGGGTGAGTGCCAGGCGCGGCCCAGCCCGGCCCTGCCACCCAGCGCCGTCCTACCTGCTGATCACGGTCCAGTTGCACCAGTCCTTCTCCAGAAAGTCCATATTCCCCTTATATTCGGCCCAGCAAAGCTGGGCGCTGGCCTCATAGCTGTCCACCATCCTGCCTGTGGGGACAGAGTTCAGACCCACGCATCCCCACCGGCTCTTCACGCGAGTGGACCCCTCCCAGAGTGTCCCCCAAGACACTTCTGGCTGAGGGGAGAGACTCGAGCTGGAGTCTTAATGACTTCCACATGCACATCCTCCAGTCCCTCCACACCCACCCTTTCTGGAATCTTCTCCCCCACCTGTCCCGAGAGCCAGCCCCGTGCCACACAGGGGCCTCGCAGGACGAGAGACAGGAAGATCACAGGGAACCCCTTTTTGGTGAGGCCAGGCTGGTGGGAAAGGGACCCTCGCCCTGGCTCTCCAACCTTAGGGCGCCCTGTTGCCGCCCTTGGGTACCCACCTTCTGACTCGGGGGTCTCGGTGGTGGGAAGAGGCTGAGCCAGGGTCTCCTGGGGGCGCAGGGCAGCTGTGGGAGGCAGCGGGGAGCAGGGTGGGTGGCGGGCTGGGCGGGGGCCGGCGGCCTTGGGAGGACAGTCATCCCGGCGGGGTAGTGAGGGGAAGGGGCAAGGGAAGGGACGCAGAGGGCTGCCCGCGGCTCCCCCTCCCATCCCGGTCCGAAGCCCCGGCATCCTCGGCAGCCATCCACGGACAGTGCCGCCGCCCGAGAGTCGCCCTCCCACCGGGGTCTCCCACCCCGGCCCGGGTCCCCCCGGCCCCCGATCCCGGGCCCCGGGCGCGCTCACTTCCCAGCGCGAGCAGAGCCAGCAGCAGGCGGAGGTGCGCGGCCATGGCGAGCAGCGGGCGCCCCTCTCTGTCCGCCGCAGG